ACTGAAATTTCCATCAAGTGGTGGAGATACACTCACCAGTGAGTTCGGGCAGAAGGTGAAGCTGTGTGCACTTGTGTGGATACAAACATAATTATAAGCCCCACTAATTCAGTGCTCTGGCTTCGGCATAAAGAACACCTTTGGGGGTTTAAAAACAAGTATCATTTCAGCAAAATTTTTAGTTGGCTCCCATGTTTAATTTTAAAAATAACTGAGCCTATCTTGTGAGATGTTACTTAGTTGGCGAGCAAATTTAGAAATAAGAAATGAGAGTTATATTTTAGGGGCCTTTCATGTCCCCTGGAAGAAATGAGGGTTTTTATATTCTTCTTTAGTAAATAGCTAGGGGACCTGTCTTACCCTATGCTGCCATGAGAATGAAAAGCAATCACACGGACAAAGGCACGGAAGTACTTCTTGATTCAGTGAAGGTCTTATGATTTTAAAACAAAGCGAGCAAAACTGCCTACTACTGGCTGCCAAACACCGGATATAATTAGGTTAAACTTCTGCTGAGAACAGAGATCCAAACGAAGAGCTGTTTTCTTTCACAAGTCAACTTAAGTCCCTTTGCATCATGATCATCCTCACTTTACTACACATTGTACCTCATTTAAAAAAAATAAATAAATAAGTTGGTAAGCCCAGTTCAAGCCTCTTTTCATTTAATGTTGAGATTAGTAGTCAAATGAACTAATAATGTCTAGACCCTTTGTTAGGAAGGATTTTCTTTAAATTCCTACTAGAAGGGGTGGCTTAGCTGTCTAAGCAACAGCTTTGAAATACCTAGACTCCCAGGAACCATAGGTTGGACTCTCAGGAGGCGAAGAGAGCCCCTTAATTATTCTGAAACAGCTGGGGTGGCAGGCCACTTCCTGCAAAAGTGTCTTTCTACAAAATCTGAAAAACCAAAATAGTGTGTGGACCTTAAAAACGCAATAACATTTCCCCTTTCATTTAGAGAAATCTGGTTTGCTGTATGATTTCAGAAGTAACTCTGAATCCTTTTGCACTTCCTTGGCCTGCCATATCCCTAAGCTATTTGCAGGCAATAATATTTATTTGCTTAAAGATTATACTTTGAATTTGGCTAAGGATTAACCTGCAGAGAACTACAAGTCCCTGTGGTTTGAGAAGGCCCTTCTTAATCTACTTTTGATTGACAGGATACATTAGTTCTCAGAGTTTTAGTTTAACATCATATTAATCCAAAGCATTTCTTCAGTCTTTTGTTGTTGTTGATGTTATGTCCTGGGAGGAGGCTCTCTTTCGCCCACTGTATTTTAGAAGTTTACTAGTGGTAAACACCACTCCTAGAACGAGAGGTTTTCATTACAGGTTTCTGAAAAGTATAACCATCTCTTAATATATAGAATTCAACATCTTAGTGCTCGGTGAGTTTTGCGAGCCAAGTCGACAGGTGCTCAAACTCTCCAAACTTACCGTGTGCACCCACTTATTAGAAACAGGATCTTCAGAATTGTCTAAATAAGCAACGTGGAGGGCTTTGCTCTCCATGCAATAGAACGGTTGCTATGAAATCCATGCCTTCAAAAGGGATGGATGTCCTCAGACTCTCCACAATCAGTAACTGAGGAAGAGTCTCCAAGGGGACAGGCGGTCTGTGGGCCTGCCTCTCGTCCTCGGGGGTTCACTTTTTGTCAGAAGCAGAGCTTTGCTGAGGAAGCGGGCTCCCAGGGCTGCAATGGCAGCAGGCTCCCCGAGACCCAGTGGAGGAGGAGAATCTAGAGGTGGAAAGCAAGGCCACGAGGCCTTGCTAACCCCCAGGATTTGGTCAGATTTGACTCTTTTTTTTTTTTTTTTTTTTTTTTTTAAGGATGTGAGTGAGTTTCCTCATTATTCAGCGGATGAGGAGAATTAGAAGACTTGAGTATAGAAAATGGTCTTGGGGACATTATTTAAGTTCCCTGTGCCTTAATTTCCCTATGAGCCAATGGGCATATTCAGGCCTGGGTTCTTCCAGACACAAAGGGTCCGATGTTAAAAAATGGAAAGGATTTTAAGTTTTTATGTGGGAAATGCATGTGCAAAATATTACTTGTTTTTTAAGGTGCTGGATAATACACTGCTAACCACACTAAAGATTAACATGCATGATTGATATTATTTGATTCTTCATATAAAATATATAGTGATCAACCATGTTTGTAATGATAGGGACCCTGAGGGGCAACTGGTCTCTAGGTAGCAGCGTTCAGCTCTGGGCCAGGAGATGCCCCAAGGGAGACGGGAGTCCTGCAAGCTTACTCTCCTCCCAGAAGATTTCCAGCCAGCGGCTTGCTTCCTTTCCCTTTTTTATGAATGGCAGTAGTATTGTGCTTCCGTCTGCATTTTTTTCTCCCAGAGCCATTCATAAAAAAATAAAAACAAAATAACAACAACAGAAAGCTTTCCCGGCGCAGTCTGGAGCCAGTGGGTGCCAGAGGCTGGGAAAACATCCTGGCAGCCGTCACCCCGCGCAGCATTGAGAGCCTTCAAGGGTCTGTTTGTTTGGTGAAGTGCCGTGTGGAAGGGCGGGCAGCTGGTGGAAGCTGTGTGACACGGACTAGGCCGGGCGCCAGGGCTGGGAGCGTTTCAGACATTGTCTTTCCCCTCATTGAAGTGTCAGGACCTAATTCATGGAAAATTGGGGGAGCTGGCAGCCCTTGCAGAGGATTTCATTGAGCCTGCAGAGTGCAGGCGTCACGTGAGTGCAGGATCCAGCCAAGAAGAGGGGAGGGGGGTTTGGGGCTGAGCAGTAGGAAGCCGTCAGCCTGCAGGAATGCGTGCGGGTTTGAAGCAGTTCGGGAGTAAGTGCGTGCAGGTGGGAAGAAAGAGAAGGAAGAAGAGCGGCCTGTTCTGACACAGGAGTCTTTTGAAATAAACACTTCTCTCTCGGCGCACACTTGTGAATCCCCAAAGGCAAGGAGTCCTCCTCGTCCGTAGTTCATTCATTCCACCTGGAGAAAACATCATCGCAAAGCCTGGGCTTTTATCCTGTCAGCTCTCCTGTGATTTAACGTCAAAGGGGAGAGCTTTTTTTTCTTCTTCTTCTTTTTTCAGGGCACAAAAGCATTTTGCCGTGTCTTTTCTGTTTAGTTTGTTCATCTTTAAAAATAAATAAATAAATAGCATCCCGGTGTTTTTTGTTTACATGCACTACAGCAGCAGTAAGACATACACCGTCACAGGAATTCTGAGAGGGGGAAAAAATGAATAGGCACTCTTATCCCTTCCATGATATAGTGAATGTATTCTAACTTCTGTTATTTGGGAGAACTGTAGCAAATTTTTCCTCCCATTGGAACCGTGACAGCATGTCACTCTCCACATCAGAGTGGCTCAGGGGTGTTCTCAAACCTCAGCGATGTATAGACAGAATAAGGGGGACTTAATGGGATTCAGACAGGAGGGTGAGTACTGGAAGGAATCCATCGGAAAGTGGGGGCTTCGGTCTGCCTTTTACAATGCAAAGAATAGCTTAAATATTTTTTTAGTACTCTAATTCTCGGGAAATTTATTTAGGCTGGGTAGAAAATTTCCCTCAGGTGTTTGACTTAAAAGTGGAGAGTTTTGCTCTGCAAACAGAATTAAATAGGTATAGATAAGATAAAGACATAAGAATTAAATGGATATACAGAAATAAGACATTGGCATAGGTTGTATTTGCAAGTGATACCATCAAAAAAGGGAACAAACCCACCCGCAGAATGGAAGAAAATAGCTGCCAGTCATATTCTGATGAGACTTGTACCCAGAACATATAAGGAACTTTTACGATTCAGTATGAAAAGACAAGTAAATTTTAAAAAGAGCAAAAGATTTGAATAGCTACTTCTTTAAAGAAGATATACAAATGGCCAACAAGCACACGAAGAAGAGATGCTCGACATCATTAGTCTTTAGAAAAATTCATATCAGAACAACAATGATATCCCACTTTACACCCAATAGGATGTTTAAAAGGCTGGCAGTGACAATGTCTAGAGAAGTTGGAACCCTCATGTATTGCTGGTAGGAATGTGAAATAGTGCAGCTGCTTTGGGAAGCTACCTGGCAGCTCTTCCAAAAGTTCAGTGTAGTGACCTGTGTGACCCAGAAATTCCGTTCCTAAATATAGATGTTCATTTTTAAGAGAAATGAACGTGTATCCACATGATCACTTACGTATACGTATGTCCATAGCAGCATTATTTATGGTAGCCAAAAGGTGGAAACAACTCAAATGTCCATCAACTCGTAGATGGGTAAACAAAATGTAGTGTGTCCAGAAATGACATGTTATTTGGCAATGAAAAGGAAGAACTACTGATACGTGCTGTGACATGGACCATCCTAGAAAGCATTGTGCTGAGTAAGTGAAAGATGCCAGACCACAAAATACCATTTATTGCATGTTTCCATTTACACGAATGCAAATTTATAGAGACAGAAAGTAGGTTAGTGGTGAGTTAGGGATGGAAGGGCAGCTAGGGAGGCAAGAAGAAATGAGGAGTGGCCGATAAAGTGTATGAGATTTCTTTTAGATGAAGTGAAGATATTCTAAGATTAGAGTTTGATAATGATTGCGCAGTCCTGTGAATATACTAAAGGCTTTTCATTATACACTGCATATGGGTGAATTATATGGTGTGTGAATTAAATCTCAATAAATCTTTTTCTACAAAACACAAAATATTAACAAATTAGGCCCGTTCCCTCCTCAAGTGTTTTAGTATTCTGAAAAAAAAAAAAGAAAAAAAAAAAGGAAATGAAATAAGTTAATTTTGATGTAGCTGGTATGCATGCCAGACTTTAATGGAGAATTGTTTTAACAGAGATAATCTGCATTTTTTTCCTTAACATTTAGAGACCATGAATAAAGAAATATTTCAAACCTTAACATTTTCATCATTATTTGCAGATGCATGTCCATATTTAAAATATGCATACTTAATGTTTTTTATTACATATGTTTTCTCTTAAACTATAACAGTTCTTTTTTTGTTGTTGTTTTTTAGCCACAACAAGTTGTTCAGAAGAAGCCTGCTCAGGTAAGAGATGGTCATTATGAGTTTTCCTACCAATTAATATATAAAGTAAAATGAAAGACAAGTCCCCAAATTAAACCTTTAGTTCATAGTTTTCTAGTTGGATTACATCAGCATTGCAGTATTCCTGACAATTTGTTGTGTCCATCAGAAATGTACAGTAGGAGATTGTCATTTAAAACCTTACAAGATCAAGACCTTTGCTTAAGTGCTCCAGGCAAAGGTTTAAAAAGAAAATGTTTATTTCACTGCCTCGTGTCTAAAACATCAAATTGTTATGTGTTTACCCATCCTTAAGCATCTAATTGTGTTCTTCCACCAAACTATCCATGTTTCATTGACTTGATATGGGACTTACTAGCTGCAAAGTATTTCATGATTCATGCCTGGAAACATATCTGTTTGTTGAACTATTCCATAACATTAAATGATCCCCAAATGCCCCCCAGGGAAGGCTGGGAAACTGGGAAATTAAGTTACACTGGTTTTGTAGATTGATGATTCTCAGGTCTTGCTTCGATGACTGAATCATAGTCTCTGAAGTCTTGGGATACATCAATATGAAGAACCAGCTTTCCTTCTCTTGTCCCAAATGACTGGAATTCCTTGTCCTGACTGTAATCCATACATGGAAACATGAGAATCATGCTTATTGAGGAAGTATATCTTGAAGAAACCAAAACTGAAGAATAGATTAATATATTGCCAAGTATGTGAGCTGTTATTAATGTATAAGGCTCTCCCCTTCTGGGTTTAAGGAGAAAGTCAGGAGATCCAGTTCTGTAACATGCAGAACTGGCTGAAGTAAGTTATTAAGCAGCATCATGGGTTACCAAGTTCTTTGTAGATCTCTGTCATATAATTTAAAATATATATGGGCCTTGGCCAGGTGGCTTAGTTGGTTGCAGCGTCGTCCTAGTGGTTTGATCCCCACTCAGAGCCAGCACGGGAGGCAACTGATGGATGTTTCTCTCTTTATCCCTTCCCCTCTCTCTAAAATCAATAAATATATCCTCAGGTGATTATAAAAACAAAATCTATGAACTCTTTCCTAGAAACCCCAAAAATGTATCTTGGCATCCTATTCTTTTGGGACAATGTCACCTTGTCTGGGAAAGATCACCCATATAATATTATGGGTTCACTGTTTATATTTTACTTTGTTAATATTTTTATTGATGTCAGAGAAGAAAGGAGAGGGGGAAAGAGAAAGAAATATCAATGATGAGAGAGAATCATTGATCAGCTATCTCCTGCACACCCTGCACTGGGGATCTAACCCACAACCTGGGCACTTGCCCTGTCAGGGAATCAAACAGTGAGCTCCTGGCTCATAGGTTGATGCTCAACCACTGAGCAACACTGGCCTGGCTGTCTGCTGTTTTGTAAGAATGCTGCTTGGAAGAGAATTGAAGCTTCTAAATATGTATTAGCATGTAGGAAATATATATCAAAAAAAATTACACACCTGCTCATGGCGACTCCCATACCTAAAAACTGAAAGTAGTAGGAGGCACTAAAAAAATACCCAGTGTTTGAGTATTTGTACACAATATTTAACAAAATGAAATAATAACAAAAAACTTGGCATGTTAAGTAGTATGTACCAAATATATTGAGCCTCTCACCCTTTATCAGTAAGAAAATCAAGAGAAAGTGAATTTATAATTCTGTGCATTTGAATCAAGGAATACTGCAGTATTCACTGTCGTATCATAGGCTGTGAACCATAGCTTAATACCCCTATGTGGTTCCTTGGCAACATCTATTTAGTTGCTATTCTTGGTGTTATAAGGAAGATGTAACAAACAAAAACAGTCACTGTATCTAAGAAATGTGTAATCTAGTTCAGAGGTCCTTAACCTCATCTACATAGTAGAATAACCTAGTGATTATACATAGACACAGTAGATCCCCCTTATCCGCAGTGGATAAGTACCAAGACCATCAGTGTCCTGGCCAGCATGGCTCAGTGGTTAAGCATTGACCTATGAACCAGGAGGTCATGGGTTTAATTCCCAGTCAGGGCACATGCCCAGGTTGTGGGCTTGATCTCTAGTGTGGGGTGTGCAGAAAGCAACTGATCATGATTCTCTCTTATCACTGATGTTTCTATCTTTCTCTCTCTCCCTCCCTCTTACTCTCTGAAATTAATAAAAATATCCTATATAATAAAAGCCTAATATTCAAATCGACCAAATGGCAGAATGACTGTTCTCTATGATGTACACTGACCACCAGGAGGCAGACACTCAATGCAGGAGCTGCCCCCAGCCTATAGGCCCCTGGCCAGCCAAGGTGGGTCCGAGCAGGGGCCCCTGATTGTCCTGCCAGCCACCCTGCAGAGAGAGGCGAACTGGTGGCAGCAGCAGGAGACAGGCAGAACCAGTGAACAGGCAGTGCCAGGTTGACCAAGGCAGGTGCCAGCCAGGGGGGGAGAGAAGGGGACGACGACACACACCCTACCTGTGCATGAATTTTGTGCATGAATTTTGTGCACTGGGCCTTTAGTATTAAATTTAAAAAGACCACCAGTGGGCACCTGAAACTGGGGGTAGTATTGAACCGTATTATATACTTGCACTATGTTTCCTCTTACATATACACACCCATGATAAAGTTTATAGTATATATTAGGCACAGTAAGAGATTCATGATGAATTATAAATACACAATTATAACAATATATTATAATAAAATAACCATTGTGATCATCTGGATGGCTACTAAGTAACTAAGTGGGGGAAGAAAGAGAGGATATTTTGGACAAAAGGATGATTCACGTCCCAAGCAGTATGGAGTGGGATAGCATGAGATTTCATCACACTACTCAGAGCAGCGTGCAATTTAAAACTTAGTTTATTTCTGAAATTTTCCATTTACTATATTAGGCCAAGTTTTACTGCAGGTAACTGAACCCACAGAAAGCAAAACCACAATAAGAGGGACTATGGGTGTGTGTGTGTGTATCATACACCTCACGTGGTGTGCAGTGTGTGCTGGAACCAGTTGTGAGCCTCTCTTCCATGGTCTGCATTCTGCAACATGTTGGTAGCTTAAAATCCACTACAGTGGCAATATTTGTGCCATGGAAATTGATAAACGCTACAAATCAGGCCTTTTTTTTTCTTCCCCTGGAGAGCAAGTTGTTAAACACACCACTGGCCCCGTCCTGCCGTGGTTCTGACGGTTTAGTCTGACTCCCCCAGCGATTCTCATGTGCAGCAGGGAGGAGAGTGCTCAGCGAACACACAGGACACTAGGTTTGAACATTTGAAACACAGAATATTGATGAAGTACACGAGGGATACAAAATGCCACATGGGGATGATTCCCGGAAGAGTTTTGATCTTGATGTTGTTTAGTTGAAAGGGGAACATGGAGACTAATTAGGGGAAAGATCTTATGGGAGAGATGAGTGACATAGTCAAAAGTAGAGAGGCCACAGGCGGAGACTGATTGCAAGTTGGGCAGCAACACACTGAGAAATGATAGAAGTGAAATAACAAAATGTCTTCCCAAGGCAATCCGGGATATCCAAGAAGCCACGGATGCATCGGATTGGTCTTCACTGATCTTCACTGTCTCATAGACCCCGCTCCAGATTTGCCCTTGAGAGGAGAGTTCAGACTCAGAAATAGGGAGGGAAAGGGAACAGGAGCTCAGTGGACTTCTTAATCTCCATTGCCTGAGGACAGTGATGAATTGCATCAATCCAGGGACTACATGGAAGTTCATGGAGGATAATGTAAATTTTACACTACATTCAAAAGAATTTCTTCCTTTTTCATCTCTTTCAAAAGACCCTCCCAGATGGTTTCCCAGGTGGCAGTCTAGGCTCATATCCTTTCTTCATCAGCAGTGTTTGAGGGGTTACTTTTAGATCCTGTTGTGAGGTGGTGAAGATTTTAGCACAAGTAAATATTTTACATATCAAGAAAAGGGCTCAGAAGTGTGTAAGGAGTCTAGGTTTTGCTTTCTAACCTCTTCACTGGGCACACTAATCTCTCTGCACCCTGTTTATCCACCTTTGGAAAGGGATAACAACAACACTTCTTCCCTTACTCTCAAGAACATTTTGGGAGAGAGCATTGTTATGTTGTAACTTATTTTGGGGTGCTAGGTGTCATTTTTATTTCCAGAGGTGGATATTCTTGGAAATTCTAGAATTCTAATTCATTTAAACTACCCTTTTTACTGCAAGGGTTTTTGTTGCTTGTTTTAAAACAAGAATGTTTTTAAACTCAGGGGAAATGTGTTCCTGTATATAAATACATGTGCGAGAAATAAAAGTTTAAGGGGAATTCTCCTGGGGGAGGCGGGGTGTGACTGGACAATTCATCAGCCACACACCTCAAGTGTGTCACATAATCCCCGATGGGAAAGTTAGAGTCCCTTATAAATCTAAAGGGGGAAATCTACAATATTCGTATTAACTTTTTTAAAATTCCAAATCCAGTAAAAGCAAAAGCTTACTAGTGAACTCTACTATATATTTTCATTCTTAAAGCGACGAAATAAGCAATAAATAAAAATTAATTAATTTTCTAGGTTTTAACAATTTGAAGTGGTTGAATCTTCAGCCCCATGGGTCACATTCTTAACTTTAGTAGGAAATAGTGGTAGATTATGTTGCTGTCATCATTGTTTTAATTTAAAAAAAAAACACTATAAGTGTATCAGGTTATTGCCCCTGATTGAGGGAGCTTTGTTTCTCTATTTTTTTTTAATATTTTTAATTTATTTTTTACAAAGAGGAAGGGAAATGGCTAGAGAGTTAGAAACTTGATGAGAGAAACATCAGTCAGCTGCCTCCTGCTCACCACCTATTGGGGATGTGCCCGTAACTGAGGTACGTGCTCTTGAGTGGAATCAAACTTGGGAACTCTCTGTCCTCAGGTCTACACTCTATCCACTGAGCCAAACCAGTTAGGGTTCTAGTTTTTATTTTGATAAAAATACATTTCGCCCTGGCTGGATGGCTTAAATTAATTAGAGTGTTG